AGGAAGAGGAAAAACAAGGACATAACTCTTTGTCTTTTAAGAGGACAGCCTGTGGGCGGAAGTCGTCTCGGGAGAGGTTGTGAGTTTATGTACCAAAGTACGTGAGCGATCAAACTGTAAAGGTAGAGAGAGAAAAAAATCTGCGTACTCAGCACATACTCCGTTTGAGAGACTCACACTGAACCCAATTAGATTTCAGTACTGTCAGAGCGGTTCAGACTGCCAGAGTTCATGTACTAAAGACATAAAAACGCTAAACTCTGCAAGTTGAAGTCACTTTAAGACACAAGTGGATAAGAGCAGGTTAAAAGAATATTCTGGGTTAAATACACATTAAAGTCTAATCGACAACATCTGTGACATTCAGTCTATTGGCAAAGAGAATAATTGTGACAAAGTGACAAACTAAAAAATTATTTTTTTTTTTAAATCACATTTACAGAAAATGTACAACAATGCACAATAGTATTTAAAACACAACACCAATTTAATCAGTTTAAAAATAAAACACTAAAATAATAGTTTGTCAAATCAATGTTGTGATGCCTAAAGGGATAGTGAATGAAATTTAAAGTTTACTAATCCTCGTGTCTATCCAAATCTATATGATATTTTTAAGAACGCTATGTACAAAACAACATTGGACCCCTTTGGCTTCCATAAAAGAGAAAGTGTTCAAGAAATAGTGCAAGTCAAAAATTGGTGCAAAACAATAAAATATCCAATATCACACAATAAAATTTGACATCAACCAATACTTTTTTTTTTTTAAACAACCGTTAAATATCAGCCAATAACCATTACAGTCCTAATACTATACATCATGCATACTTAATTTTAATCAATATATTTTAGTATTATATGAATATATTCATATTTTAGTATTTATTCGTTTTACATTCAATTTACATTCTGGTATTGCCTTCTCAGTGACTGCCGTAGAATGTAATTAAGTTGCCTACTTTTTGGAACAGCCTTCTTGTCTGAAGCACAATTATGAAGCCTGAAAATGCTTTAGAACAGTGTGTTTAAAAACACGTCTAAAGCACAAAAGGCAGATCGCTTCTTTTCTTTTGAGAAGCACTCTCAAGAGCACATGACAATATGACACTTGAATTTCATTGCTCTTTCGGTTGAAGAGCTGCTGTCAATCGCAGGTTGGTCATAAAATTCTCTGAGATTCAGCTTGTCAGTGATGACTCCTCCAAAAACACATGGGCCAGACTGATGCCGCTGGGTATCACGGATGCCTGAGGAGCACTGGCCTGTTTCAGGATCAGTATCAGAGCATTTACTAGATCACCACACAGACACACTCCATTTACAGAGGGATGAAGCCTAAATATCACACTAATGCTGCAGCATTGGGTGCATTCCTGTAGTCCCTGTGGGCACACAGGCAACCAAGTGATCAGCTCCTCTAAATGTCAGAGAGGGGGACATCATCTCATGCCTGTCTGCATGCAAACACCATCACATGAAGAGCCAGGAGAATTCAAACTGTGTCCCACAGAGACAACAACTAGAAAACCCATCCAATCAGAGTCTATTAGAACATTATTCAACTCCCAACTCGCCTCAAACTGACCTCGCTTGGAAATCAGCAATTCCTCCATTGATTTATTTATTAACAAGATAACAGACTTTCTAAAGAACTTTTCCTATGCTTAAAATTAATAATGACAATAAATACCATGCGTTTTCCCTTTTTTTCCTCCCATCTACGTAGACTAATCACCAGATTGAAGGTCATAAACATCTAAAGCTAGTGTGTGCCATCACAACAATCAAAGGTTTGGGGTCACTAAGATTTTTTCATGTTTTGGAGAGAAGTCTCTAATGCTTGCCAAGGGGCCGTTCACACACAACAGGTTTTTCCAATCCAATGTGTTAATTTTCCATTGTTTTTCAATGTAAACTAAACGCACTAGATGGATGCCTTTAACCGTTGTGATCGTGTCTTTTTCTGCGTCTCATGCATGACACGGCGCTCAAGTTAAAAGTTCAACTTTAAAAAAAAAACTGTTCCTGTCCATTCAGGAATCATTCTAATTTGCTGATTTATTATTATCAATGCTGAAAACATCATTTATTTGAAATAGAAATCTTTTTTAACATAATACATCTCTTCACTTGAATCATTTAATGCATCCTTGCTGACCCCAAACTTTTGAATGTGTACAATATCTAATCTTGTATATTATGTCAAAAGACAACATCACACACCTTAACAACAAAGCCACAAGAATATCAGGCAAAACTATGAGCAAGACCATGCTCCTTTCTAAAACATCATTTCTTTTCAAGGGAAGATGCTTATATTTGACCAGCGTAAATGCACTAGCTGTAGGCAAATATATGACTAACATACACCCTGAAAGCAGACGTGGTATTATATAGGCCACGGAATGTAAAGTTATGAAAATGTGCACCTGAAACTAAAGCTATCAGAATTATAGCTCACAGACACTAGATTTCCAGTGACAAATATGACAAATACAAAAAAAAAAGAAAAAAAGAATGAGAACATCCTTGCACACTCTTATTTTTTTCTTCAAGATAAAAAAAAAAACCCTAAGAAGTGAAATCCTATATCATGTATTTCAGTGTTTTTAAATGGAGTCTGTGAGTTGTTTTGCAGTAGCTGGGGCAGTGAACATCTGCTAATGGTCATTAAATCCATTTGGCTGCAGTTATTACGCATTCATGTCACTAAATGAAGCGATACACTTAGACGCCACACAAACGGAAACAGTCATCTGCCTTTTTTTTTTTATTACCGACCTGCTATTTAGAACATCTCAATGCACACTAAACATCTGCCATGATATCAGAAACACATTTCCTGTCTCTGACCCCACCATCATTGTATCCTCTGAAAACAATTCTCTGTTTCCTCTGAGCGGAAGAGCACAAGCACCCTGAGGTGGCAGCAGTCTCTCTCTCTCTCTCTCTCTCTCGTCTGTGGAGGGAGTCGTTCTGAGCGATGGCCAGCTGTGTCTCTGTGTGATGTTCAGAGCTGCACTTGAGTGAACTCTCTAGTACACACTCATGTATGTTCTCCTCCCTGTATGAGCACACAACTGCGTGAAGAACATTAGTGTTTGTGCTCAATAACGGACTCTCCGTTTCTTTCCCTCCATCAGTGGACCACCGGTACTAAACCAAAAAGTGCAGACTAATAAACCAGAACAGACCCTAGATTTAATTAGATGTGAATGAAAAAGAGGCTGTGAGGGGTAGAAGTCAAAACTATGCACTGTTGCTCACCTTGGTGAAAACACTGAAAACGTCTTTCCGCAGTTTTTACCCTGACAGAGGTAAGAAAACTGAAATCAACACCTGTTTCCTCATTTCAGTTCTTAACCAACTGCCAGTGCCAACTACCCAAAAAACACGCTTACACAAAATTAGAAACATACACAAATTCACCCTGATCGCAGAAGCGCATAAACCACATCCATTCAAAGACAACTGAACTTTAACACACACACACAAGTGATGGCATTTAAGCGCACTAAGAAATTCCAAACATGTCCAGTCCAGACATGTGAATGGCCTGACTGCTTTCTCTCTCTCTAAGTCTAAAGGACCGGGTTCCCATCTGCGGGAGTCTCAGTGCTGCACAGACAGACAGAGATAATGGCAGGGTGCAGGGGATGGTCAGTTTATTTAATAAACATAAAAATCCACCTGAGAAAGAGAGGCTGAATCCAGTCTGTGAGAAAGAGAGAGCTGGGAGGAGAGAGAGAGAGACTGTGCTCTGATTTCAGACGACACATTCAATCACACTGATTCCTGCTCAGCCTAGATGATTGCGGCTGTCGTGGTGAATATTTACTCTCCAATTCATTCTTATTTACATAAGCAGACAGGTAATTCTAACAGCCTGCAGTCTTTTATTCAGAGTTGAAATTTCCAAAACTATGGCAACAACATAAAAAAACAATCCAACTCCTCCTGTATCCCTAACCAAAACGAATCTAGCTATACCCACGGTTCAACTCCCACCGACTCCCAGGCCAAAGTTAACACCACACCCAACTTTAAGTCTCATGCCCAGCCATAAGGTACGTTAGACTTCATGCGGCGCTGCGCAGACCAATCTGCATCTTGCTTGAAGCAGTACATGCCGGTTAAAAACTTTGTCCAAGTTGAGACAACTCCACATCGACAGTGTTTTTATAACAGTAAAAACTCTTTTCATGTAAACCTAATGTTATATTGCATCATGTAATGTTATATTGTGTCATGTTTATCAAAATAAAACTGATAAAAAATACAGGCCCAACTTTATTGGTTTTTAAAAAGTATAGGCTTTTAATCTTGTACATACAGGTGCTGTATTTAACACTTTTCATTCAGTACTTGATGTAGTGCTCGTGTTATAAATGAAAACTTCTGAAATGTCTGTGCATTCGACAAATATTGCATCTAATCTACTTCATCTATGATAAAGTGCACAAATACTGCACGAACATCACAGCGGGAAGTGTCTGACTTTATGTCTCCGATTTCAACTCCTCTGACCTGCAAGCCATAAATCTTAACAATCGTTTAAATCCAGCCTAATAAGTTGAACACAGCTCCGCCCCCATTCATTAGCCACAATTAAACCCCACCCCCACACATTCAGCTCCACCCTCAACCTTAGCCACTCACTCAAACTCCACCCCCAGTCATTCTAGCCCCACCCAGCAAACTCAAACCCCGCCCCCAGCCACAGTCAGACTTTCAGGGTCTAATCAGTGTCAGCTACTTGGCAGTAAATGTTTCGATATAAATACTTCATTCTACAGTCTAAGTTTCAACATCACTGAAAAACACCAGCAACAGTTTCCTGAATCAACCACACCGCCTTCATACACCTGTGCCCTCATTTCCAGCCCTGCGCTGTAACGAACACCTTTGGAGCAGACATGAGCGAGTCTGTCTCTAGGCATGGATCTCTGAAGAGGTTCATACTGGAATTTATTTAGGGAGTGAGGTTCTGGTCTTACCTTTCCAAACTGTTCAAAATACTGTTTCACGTCTTCAACGACTGTGCTCGCGGATAATCCACCCACAAATATTTTCTTTGTTCTTGTGACCATCTGGTGAGAGAAACAGGAAAAAAAGAAAAACATGAGCAAACCAAAACCCTTCAGAGCCAGCAGACAGCTAGATCACTCACACTTCTATTCAGATCATTGTGTTTGTAAGTTTAAATTTGCATGATTTTTTTTTTATTGTACTTGTAAATGTTCAACAAAAAAATACAGAGGTAGAAAAAAAAGATGAATCATTCATTTTCCTAACAAACATTAAGATGTATGAAACACCAAGTGATAGAAATAGAGCAGATATTTTTACCAAACAGACAGTGAGAATGAGATTTCTCCGTTTCTGTAGTGCCACTAAAGAGCCACCATAAAAAAAAATTACAATAAAAAAGGGCTGAGTTTTGAGCTTATGACCTGTACATGACAAGACTGGCCGCCAGGGGCGGACTGGCCATCTGTGTGATCTGGAGAATCACAGAACGGTCGGTACTCCAGGACGGCCAGCGGGCCGGCCCACCACCCGCCACACACGCAGTCACAGACATCCCAAGTCTCCCGGAAGTTCCGGGAGTCTCCCGCATATTGATAGCGGCTCACTGATGCCCGCAAATTAGTTAAAATCTCTTGGAATCTAGAGCGAATAAGAGCGCACATGCGTAGTGCGCGCACGGCAGAGAGAGGGAGCGAGCTAGAGACCTTGCGTGTGTGTGCTAGTGTGCGCGTGTGCCTCACGAAGCGCATGTAAGGACCCAACCAATCAAGTGCGGGCGGGCTTTTATCTCTACTACTCACGAACTGAATTAATCAGAAATTACTTTGCAAGTTACTTGCTAGGGATGATGTTAGGAAGTGATATTCAGCTTGCTACATTTTTAATGATTACAGTAGTTAAAACAGCTAAACTTCAACATTTTAGCTGTAAAATGCCACATGCTGTAGCTAATATTAAGAAAATATGTTGTGCTTTTACTTTTAAAAATGTTGGTAACGTTACAGTTAATGCTTACAAACTTTGAAGATTTTGAATACAGAAGTTACATTTGTAATGGTGTAATTTCATTTAGATGTGGTATTATTATTTGTGCAGTAGCTAAGATTAATTACTGCATAAATTAATTAAGATTATTAAGTAATAAATTCATGTTAAGACAGCATGGAATAGATTGTATAATTTGCTGTTAGCTAGGTATAGTATTATGAGCCACAATTAAAGTCTTGTGACACTCATGCCAGGCGGCAGGCGTTATTGTTGTTGTTGTCGAGTTTCCGCGCGCCGATTGCTTTGGGCCGGGCCTAGTCAAAGTCCAGGGCCGTTTTTTAGTCCCAGTCCGTCCCTGCTGGCCGCTATAAAATAACACAGATAAAAAAAAATTTCCTATTACATTGTTCAAGACGTGACAATAGAATTTCATTTGCAAGTTTACATAACTACAATTTAAAAAAAAATAGTGAAGACAAAATACAAGAAACATGGTCAATGAATCTAATGTTTTTGTCACAAAAATGTCAATGGCTTTTCTTAGTAATATATAAACAACTTTCATACGTTCATGTTGAGGTCAAAGGTCTGACCTCAGGATACAAAATTTGTGTTTGAAGATCATCTTCCTCTGTAAACAAACTGCTAATGAAAGCTTTAACTTAAGCACAGAGTTGATTCCAGTCCCTCCAGATGCACCTTCTCAAGATTTCACAGCTAATAATGCCGTTACAAATCACATTTCACTGATGCCACACACGTGTTTGGCCCCATTAGCGCAGCCTTCCATTCAGTTAAACTCCTGACATGTTTACTTCTGCTATGACACACGTCCAGATGCTTTTTAGCTCCAGTCACACATAAAAACAATAACAGAGAAAAAAAATCCTTCCTTTTCCCATAAAACTCAATTAAGGGATAGAGGGAAGGAGGGGTGCATTAAAGGGCTAGTTCACCCAAAAATGAAAATTATGTCGTTCCAAACCCGAAAGACCTCCGTTCATCTTCGGAACGCAGTTTAAGATATTTTAGATTTAGTCCGAGAGCTTTCTGTCCCTCCATTGAAAATGTATGTACGGTATACTGTCCTTGTCCAGAAAGGAAATAAAGACACCATCAAAGTAGTCCATGTGACATCAGTGGGTTAGTTAGAATGTTTTGAAGCATCGAAAATACATTTTGGTCCAAAAATAACAAAAACTACTACTTTATTCAGCATTGTATTCTCTTCCGGTTCTGTTGTCGAGCCGCGTTCAGTGACGCTGCTGACGTAAGACGCTGCTGACGTGTTATCAGTGCGCCCGAGCTTCGTTTACAGTCTGAGGGAGACGCACGCTGTAAACAAAACAATCTTCGCAAACATGTCTAAGGATTTCAACACAGAGGAAGACTTGCATTTTTTTGCCCAGCCATATTTATTTGAACCCGAATACACGGGCGCACCAGATACACGTCAGCAGCGTCACTGAACGCGGATTGACAACAGAACCGGAAGAGAATACAATGCTGAATAAAGTCGTAGTTTTTGTTATTTTTGGACCAAAATGTATTTTCGATGCTTCAAAACATTCTAACTAACCCACTGATGTCACATGGACTACTTTGATGATGTCTTTATTTCCTTTCTGGACAAGTACAGTATACGGTGTATACATTTTCAATGGAGGGACCGAAAGCTCTCGGACTAAATCTAAAATATCTTAAACTGTGTCCCGAAGATGAATGGAGGTCTTACAGGCTTGGAACGACATGAGGGTGAGTCATTAATGACATCATTTTCATTTTTGGGTGAACTAACCCTTTAAAACATTGATTAATTCCCAAGCTGAGAAAATACAAAATATTTCTACAGCACTCAAGGAGAGGCGACAGGAGAATGAGCAAAAGTGCACCAGAAGAGAAAGAGAGAATGAAAGGCAAGAAGAATTTAAACGCATGCAACTTTAAAGGAGAACTCCGGCGCAAAATGAACCTTTGGTCTAATTACACATTGTTACCTAGTCAACCGTTATCTGAGATTTGTTTTCATGATTATCGAATGTAAATAGTTTTATCTCTAAAAACAGTTTAGCCTATAAAGCTAGTATAACGCTAGTATATTGGGCATCGAGTAATGACAAATAAAAATCGCTTGTTAATACCACTAACAAGGCTGAAAATAGCCCCAGACTAGCACGGTAGCATAATGTTCAAACCGAAGCATTGAGAACTTTGTCAGTGTCCAGACAGTTAATAAGAAGATATTTAATACATACAGTCAACTTCGCGTATACAGGCAGGAGCCATCTTTGAAAAGCAGTCTCTACCCGTCGATCTACGAACGCCGATCCAAGTGCGCTGGTGAGAATGTGAACGAGCTATAAGTTGTGATAAGGTGAGCGCGAACAGCAGGCTTGGATCGGCGTTCGTAGATCGACGGGTAGAGACTGCTTTTCAAAGATGGCTTCTGCCTGTATACGCGAAGTTGACTGTATGTATTAAATATCTTCTTATTAAACTGTCTGGACACTGACAAAGTTCTCAATGCTTCGGTTTGAAGGTAGGGACCCTCATTATGCTACCGTGCTAGTCTGGGGCTATTTTCAGCCTTGTTAGTGGTATTAACAAGCGATTTTTATTTGTCATTACTCGATGCCCAATATACTAGCGTTATACTAGCTTTATAGGCTAAACTGTTTTTAGAGATAAAACTATTTACATTCGATAATCATGAAAACAAATCTCAGATAACGGTTGACTAGGTAACAATGTGTAATTAGACCAAAGGTTCATTTTGCGCCGGAGTTCTCCTTTAAGAAATTTAATAGCCAAATAAAAAGCATTAAAATAGTTGGTGTTCATCATTTGTCTTTTAATATTCACAATAACTTAACAGCTTTTTATGAAAACGTTGTATTGTCAGATCTGTACTGTGAATGTTTATTTAATCTACTCATATTATCGGTCAAAAGTATGGAATAGATTTTTTTCATGTTTTTGAAAAGTCTCTTATGCTCATAAAGGCTGCATTTATTTGATCAAAAATAAACTAAAATTGTGAAATATTACAATTTAAAATAACTTTCTATTTTAATATATTTTAAAATGTCATTTAAGCTGAATTTTCAGCAAGTATTACTCTAGTTTTCAGTGTCACTTGATCCCTGAGAAATAATTTAGTATGTTGATTTGGTGCAATCAGAATATTTGATGCTGATGCCTTCTCATCCCTAAACCCAGCAATTGTTTTTTAGTTTTTTTGTTGTTGTTGTTTTGCAATTGGTGATTGTAGGGAAGAGAAATGACACTACACCTTTAAATACTTTATAAATCTGTGCATTCTGTTACTGTATGTGTAATAACCACACCCACCAGCCAACGCACCAATCTAGAGTGAAGATGATGTTGAAGCAGAGATGTGATTGTCTATCTACCTGTCTATTTGCATGAGCACCAGGAGCTTGTGTGTGGCACTCATTCATGATGCAAATCAAGCCAGTGGCCGGAGACCAGTGCCTAAAACAAGATCACATCCACCCGGCAGGCTTTCTGGGGTTATCAGGGTCGTTCAACCTGGATATTTACCAGCATCCCTGTTCTTATCAGCACAGATCTAGCTAATGGAAACAGCAGCTAGCCCTGTTCCTGCACTACCAGCAGTTGTTTCATCTGCGTCCTGTGACACCTCACTCTCTGCGAGAGGCGTTCCCCTGCCTGCCGCTGCCGCTGCCCTGTCTGTAGATGCTTAAGTTTTTAGCCTACTCTTTATGCTCTGTGACAGGCCTGCCCACAGGGCTGATGGGATTTCTACAAGCACTGCAACAACGCAATTACTTTCTCTCCTGCTTTCTCTGTGGTGACAACCCTACACGACTGCCTAAACCCTCCTGGAGAAGAGAGACAGACAGCACGGTGAAAGACAGTGATACAGGAGTTAGTGAGCTTGCATGTTATACAACTTGCATTATTCCGAGGAAAAAACGTATAACACCGGTATCAGAGTTCGTCAACACAGGGCCCTCCTGCCTGAGAGAGCAGCGGCATTTCTCTCTAGGACATATAGGAAGAGGCTAGTGATAATATGAGCACGTCG